TGAATAAAATGAATAGAATGAATAAAGTGAAAATGGTATGATTAGTGTGTGTGTGTGTGTATATATATGTATGTATATATATGTACATGTATGTATATAGTACAATACAATATAATATAATACAATACAATACAATATAATATAGTCTATTATAGTCTAGTATAACATAATACGCAGAGAAAGTAAATGAATGAATAAGGATGAATAGGAGGGAACTTTTTTTTTTTCTTCTTTTTTTTTTTTTTAGAGGAGGAGGAAAGGGAGGAAAAGAGAGGGAAAGGGAGAAGGGGGATACTTACTTACTTACTTACTTTCTCTAGGTTACCTTATTTTCTGTACTCGTCTATTTCGGTTGGGCGGAGGGAGGGGATGGAGAGGGGATGTGTGTGTGTGTGTGTGTGTATGTGTGAGAGAGAGAGGGAAAGAGAGAGGGAAAGAGAGAAAGGGGTGGGGGAAAGGGAAATAAGGATGGATGGATAGATAGACAGACAGACAGACAGACTTGGCTTTTCTGATATTTCTCATATGGATATATATGTATCTATCTATCTATCTATCTATCTATTCATATATATATAAATATCCAAACAACAGGTAGCTAAAGAAAGGGGTCCGCATCTCTCAGCCCCCTCGACATCTCATCGGTCTGCCATCTTCAATCCGAAGACGAGAACACCGGGTCGGCCGCTGGTTCTTGGCTGTCTGTCTGTCTGTCTGTCTGTGGTGGTGGTGGTGGACCTCCTCCTCTCCGGTGCTGGGTTAGCAGATGGAGAGGGAAAGAAGGGGGGTATGGGGATGTGGATGTGGATGGACTTGCCTCGGGATGGCCTGGAGTCTTGGGAGCGGAGCACGCTACAACAAAGGGTATTAGCGGGGGTCCCTGTTTACAGTTAGCGAGGTTTGGAAGTGGAAGGGTGCTTTCTCACCTTGTACCGGTAGGTGTAGTAGGTCGTTAGATGGAAGGGTAGAATTTGAGCAGGTTGGGAGTCTCTGGATTGCGTGCGTGCTGGTGCTGCTCGGCTACTTGGAAGGGGGTTGGCGAGATTGGAGACGAGGGTTAGGGTTACTTACCTCGTGTACGGATTGAGATGCAGGAGGACAGCATCGATGTTCTGGATATCGTTAGCGGAATTACGGAAGGGGAGTGCGTACCTGGTAATCTGTGGAGGGTGGCACGGCGATGGTGACCTTGTGGTGTTTGGACGACGTGGCATGGATTCTTGGAACCGTGAGCAGGTTCGAAATACGGGAATACTTACCGGGTAGGCTTTGAACGAGGTGGTATGGATTCCTGGAATCAGTGAGCAAGGTCAAAAGATGGGAGCACTTAGCTGGAAATCTTCGGTGTCGCTGCCCGGTGGTAGATTGTTATTCCTGAATTCTTGAGAGATTCCAGAAGGGAAGAAAGAGTTGGTGTACTTCCTTGGAGATCTTCGGTGTCGCTGCCCGGTAGTAGATTATCATTCTTGAATTCTTAAGCAAATTTCAAAAGGGGAGTACTTACTTAATATCTTCGCGACGCAATTTGGCTTGATATGCCTAGTACACTTAGCGAAATCGTGAGATGGGGGAACTTACCTTTATTTGATTATGACTTCTTATTAAAATATAAAGTATAAAGACCCAAGAAAGAGTTGGTGTACTTCCTTGGAGATCTTCGGTGTCGCTGCCCGGTGGTAGATTGTTATTCCTGAATTCTTAAGCGAATTCTAAAAGGGGAAAGGAGTACTTACCTGGGATCTTCGCGACGCGATCTTGCTTAATATTCCTAGTACACTTAGCGAAATCGTAAGATAGGGAACTTACTTTCATTTGATAAAGACTTCTCGTCAAGATGTAGCGTATAAAAATCCAAGAAAGAGTTGGTAGTATCAAGATCAAGAGAAGGTGATACTTACCCCCAAGTCCCCTCGTCACTGGTAGCCGTCCTAAAAACAGTTAGCTGGCTCAGAAAAAGGGGAATACTTACCTTGAAACGATAATGGGGTGGGGGAGGGGGGATGAAGTGTGTTTCCTAGTGAAGGGTCAGCAAGTTCAAGAAAGGCCCGATACTTACCGTCCTTGCGGTCTTTCGCATGGATCCTCTCAGGCAGCTCCTGTCTCATGGATTCAATATCCTCCATCGTTCCTGCGCTAATCCAAGAAGGGACCAACTCCTCTTCGCATGACACGGTCTTGTTGTGCGGGAAAGGGTTTATTCCTTCTCTGTTTCTTTGGCACTTTGGGTCCTACCGCGCGCCTGGTGAGCAGCTACACGCGGGGCTTTTGGAGACTGTGAATTTGCACATCATGGCTGGATGGGCGGAACTGGTGGATGTTGGCTGTTAGATGTTTGGGGTATGGTAAAATGTCCTGCTGTAAGTTTTAGAGCGTTTTTGATGATCGTAGAGAGCAAGCTGATGAGGAAGGGGAATGAATTCGAAGACAAATCTTATTTAATATAAGAACAGGACCCATTGTTCTTGAAAAACAAGTGATAATCGAAAGGCAACCCCAAGGAGATGTGATAAAGAAACAACAGCATTGTGTAAGAGAAGAAAGAGCTGCATTGTGTAAGATCTTTCATACCTTGTCCTTTGCTCGGCCAAGGGTCCTCGATTCTTTCATCGGGTTTCTCAAACATAGACTACGTCTTGATCCATTTGATGATTGTTGATTCTGCTTATTGGTGTCGGGGTACACAAAGAAGCCGCTAGATTCATTGCGAGGAGAGCTGAGTAGCCATGTCCTGAAAACTTAAGCCGCTTTTACCGAATTTGATGAATGTAATGAAATCGATCCTGTCAAAGGCTCGGTGGTACAGTTCCAGTCCTCTTTGACTGAAGTTTCATGGTATATCTGTTTAGAAATTCGGGATGCTCGCCCGCCCATCCCGACCTACAGCTATACACATTCGCTCGACCACTTGGGGAAATTTTCAAGTTTACGTGACGACTATGCTTGCATATGATGATACAGATGAGTCAGAAATCAAACAGTAAATTATATAAGAATTGCTAGATCAATAAATGAAGCGCAGGATACCAGAGAGGCTCCAGTATAGCTCCAGTATGTTTTGTTTTTTATTCGAAAAACTTGAGCAAACCTCCTAGGTCAGGAAATAGCGATCAATCACAGCTCTATCTAGGAACGGAATCATCGATGTTGTTAATGTTGATGGAGCGAATATCATAAGAAAATCGACATCACAACTTCTCAAAGCCAGCAGGGATCCGCCCCCACTTAAGTCACCCCTCACCCTACCTGGATCCTCATGTTCAAATCAACATACACCGACAGCTTTGTTCATGATGTCAACACCAAAGAACATCCTGCTCACAGGCGCGAGTCGGGGCATCGGGCTCGCCATCGCCAAGTTCCTGCTCAAGGATGGCCACAGATTATTCCTCGTCGCCAGGACCGCTGCACCGATGGAGGCGTTAAAGAAGGAGTTTCCAGGACAAGCTGAGTTCTTAGCAGCCGATCTGGGGGATTTTGAGGTTGGTGCCCATTTCATTGGAATTTATTCTCGTCAGGAAGCGCCTGCAGAAGCTTGTGTTTGAGGGTCACGTTTGGTCCTTGAGATTAATTGCCCCGGCAGAAGCAAGGTGACTGCTCCATCAGCTTCAGTGGTTATAGCAATGGGCAGCTCGCCTGAATGATATGCAGAATGTCTGCCTGTTTCTTCTTCACAGCCCATCTGATGGACCGTCCCTTCTTACGACAGCCGCGCCCTCGTCATTTCTCCCACCTTGCCCTCTGGAGATTCCCTCCAATTTCTCAGCAGAAGCTCACTCCTCCTGTAGGTCGGACCAAAAGCCGTCTCCCTCGCACTCTCAGCATTTACAACCCTCGATGCTTTGATCCTCAACCACGGCACTCTCTCTCCCGTCAAGCGAATCGCAGATAGTAGCCCAGAAGAATGGCGTAAAACCTACGATGTCAATTTCTTCAGCTTACTCGCATTCGTATGCGTCTATTTCCCCTTCGTATTTCTTTCACTCCCCTGACCAGAATAGATTCAACCTGCGATCCCAACCCTCAGATCTAGCAAGGGCCGCATAATCCTCACCTCCTCAGGCGCAGCGTCCAGCACCTACTCGACATGGGGTGCCTATGGCTCCTCCAAAGCAGCAATGAACCATCTCGCCGGAACGCTCGCCACTGAAGAGCCAAACATTACTTCGATTGCTATCAGGCCAGGTGTAGTTGATACTGACATGCAAACTCAAGTTCGGGAATCTCACGGAGTCATGGATGGCAAGGACGCGGAGAAGTTCAAGAGTTTGTTTGTTGACGGGAAGTTGTTGAAGCCGGAGCAACCTGGGAATGTCATGGCGCGGCTGGCTTTGGGTGCCGAGGAAGGGCTGAGTGGGAAGTTCTTGACGTGAGTTTGGTTCCTCTACAATGGAGTTGTGGTGATGCTAACGAGAAGCAGCTGGAATGACAAGGAGCTTGCCAGGTATCAAGATTAAGAACGTGTCTTTGTATTTGGATTAGAGATCATTTTAGAAGCCTCCTCGAACCCGATAATTCGGGTAGCGACAAGCCGATTCCCTTTCTCCGCGATTCTGGCTGTTATAGAAAGATGCCATATCCGTCATCTTCAAGTTTCATATACAATAGACAAGTGGGATTTCCTGTTGCGCTTTCTCGCGTAACGTCAATATCTCCCCAAGAGCAGCTTCAGAGTCTGAAATATCGCGGACTCTCAGGTACCTGCTATGATTTGCTCGATTTTTCAATTTCCATAATCACTCGACCGGTATCCGTTCATAACTTACTCCCAGATCGGTATGACCTTGGCGTTCCAAAAAAAAAAAAAAAAAAAAAAAAAACAACATTGTGACTTGATCAATGTACCTGGCTTTAACAATAATCTTACACCGTTCCAGAGAATTATCCGAGGTTTTCTCAAGTCCTGTTATTATCACGCCCAAATATCCCGCGACGATACGGAAGAACTTGCAATATTACCCTCGGAGCAAAATGCGTACGTCTGGCGAGCGTTCCTTTCGATACGAAGCGTCGCGGTTAATCCAGACCTGAAAACTGCTATTCAATCCTTTCAGAAGCCTTGACACCTCGAAGAGATATCCAAGCCGAGTCAAGGTACGATGACTGTCGAAGATATCAAATCAACGTCATTCTTTCATATCTGGAAGGGAACACGCTAGGTACTTCCTGGCATTCCTTTGTTCGAGAATTGGTAGCAGAGCACGAAGATCGCGGTCCGAAAGAAAGCCCGATAGAACTAAACTGCAGATGGGTTTGGATATATGTAAAAAGTCTTTTGGACAGTGTTGCAGTAATTATGATGAAAAGAAAGAGAGAGCTGGGTACCGAGACCCACCCTATTACCCATTACTACGTTGGAGGTTGGGAACCCTGGGCTTTGTGCAAGCGAGAGAGAACCTCATTCACAAAAACGTGAAAATCAATAAAAATCGCGATCCGGTGGCACAATGAGGCAAAAGGGACTCAAGATATACAGAACATTCACAATAAATATAGACAACGACAAAAGCACTGCAACCGCCGTGAATCGAACACGAACCTCCACCTTGCTTATCACCGAGATGACATGGAAGGGTGGAATCCTAACCATTGGACCACGGAAGCTATTATGCACGTGTGAGCGCTCAAAATTTGGTAATATAATCATTTACTCAAAAATATGCCCCACACCAAGCCATCTTCTTAACCAATTGCTGAACCACAAAGAAGCGTGCTTCCACGGTCACTGGAGGAAACAAAACAGAACTTGGGATATCGGGTTATTATCAACCAGAGGTTTCCCGTACCGTTACAAGCTCTATCCTAGATTATAATATATACTACATCGAGCCTGCTCCGCACTCCTAAACCTGCAGACTCCCACCAGCTGTCGCCTAAGATGGGTGCGGCGTGCCAGTGGCAAAAAGCAAGCACAGTCCTCACTCAAACGGCCGGGTTCGAAGGCTCAACATCAAAAAGTCCAGACAGATCCAGGCCAGCAGGGGAAGGAGACATTGGAGATACTCTTCGACCGTGGGATCAGTACCACATTTCGGGAGTTTGGGCCCAGACGGAGAGCTCTTTTTCCTGCCTTACTTCGTGCCCTGCTCAAGACATCTTGAACCTTTGGTGGCCTTGCCGTGGACGGACGAGCGCGCAGCGAAACTCCTTCTTGTGATAAGGTTTTGGTTTTTCACACAAGTCCATGGCAGTAGGATATCGCATTAGCAAAATCCAATCCGCAGCGGCTGGTGCGAGTCTGGAGACTCCTGAGAAGGCGCAGTTACACGCCTCTGCATTGGACTCGGCGATTTCAAGCGATTTCAATCCTGATGTTCCGATACTCGATAGATCTCTGAGTTGAATGGTCTTGGGGGTTTTGGAGGATTCGCCAATCGAGGGGGCCAGATGAATAAGGATTGAGACATGGGATGTCGAGTTTATCCGGACCGAGTCCGTACCTACTGGATTCTCCTTTATGCGATCCTTATTCGATGCGAGGCGTCGATATTATTTGCGACTGTTGTGTGCTTTCACACGTACAACTTGGATATTGAGAGCTACCAATATTTTTGTCACCTGAGGTTCCCCGTCAGAACTCTTGCCAGGCTTCAGTGCAGTGGTCCTCGTGGCTTCATCCTCCACTGATCTCTGTCAAAGTACCTCCAGGCCTCCTTCCTCTCCACAAAGATGGGGGTTTCCTAATCCCTTCGTTCAAGGAAGCTACCCTGATGTTTTGTGGCAATGAGTTTCTTGACTCGGTCGCTGGCTGGGTGTTGCAATCTAAGTATAAAGCTCACGAAATCTTCTTAGAGGAAGCCATTGAAACTATCTTCTGGATCCAATGTTGATGTACCTATCAAGCGGGATTAGGCTCTGGGGTAAGAAGATGGCATAGGTACCTGGTCTAGGATTTGAACGGAAGTAGCCAATGGATCGCTGATACACTCACGTACGATACGAAGCTTATCATCATCATCACAGTCATAGACTAGAGTGCTACCGGTACTAAGTCTATTCTGGGCTTGTTATGAAAGAGCTAGGTATAGACCCCTATGTAAAATCTTTTCGTTCTGCGAAAGGTGAACCAGAGCAGCTTTTTAAGCGAAGTCAATTGGAGGCGACTGATGACTATTCCCTTGCAAATTTCCGGCTCCTAGATACGACTACACATGGAGCAATGACCAGCAAGCAGCATTTTTGAAAAGACGAGAGGGCCGATCATAAAGAAAGACGACGTCGAGCCACAATATATGGTTAGTACAGGGATTTCGACCGAGGGATATCGCTTGACGAAACCCTGGCCACACTCTTTCCCTGACTGAAAAAACTTTATATACAGTCGAGTCTCTTTGCATGATCACATTACTGTAATATACAGAAAGTCTAAAAGCGTCTGGGCAGCGTAAGGTGAGGTTGGAATATAAAAGTGTTTGATTCCACTCTGCGAACGTTCAGAATCCCTTTTCAGAATCGTCATCATAGGTCCGTCTCTCCGTCCTGACTTGGGGAAAAAAAAAGAAAAAGATAGAACAGCCTTCGTGCAAGCGAAGTTGCGGCCTAAAGATCATGCGTGTAGCAAGTGATTCGATCTCTCGGCAGAGGGGTGAAGGGAAGGGGGGTCGCCTCCCATGCGAGCAAATCCTGTCTCTCAAGACTCCTCACAGCATGGGCAGCTACCGTAGCTGTATGCATTCGCTCGCGTCCTTGGCCGACACTTTGGGACTTTCCCCATCGATCGTGCAATCGATCCGGATACCCTTGCCATTACTATCCTCTCGCACATCCTGTAAAGCACTGCCGATCAGTTGTCCATAACCCGTCATCTCCAGGCCCCCCCGCTCAAACCCGAAGTCCATTCCTCGCGTCCACGAGCAAGGAGTCACGTCGAACGCGCGAAGCAGCAAGAAGAACCCATTCGCGCCAGAGAGGGAGAAGGAAAACCCGCTCTCCGCCGAAAGCGTATGCCAGAACGAACGCTGTCAACAGCCAGGTTTTGCTGTCGACAGAGCGCACCTTCGGCAACCTCGGGTTCGAGGTCGACACTCCTCACAACCTCGAATCGGCCGTCTCAGATCCCCTCCCGTACCTCTCCTAGGCGGTAGCATCTTCCACCCCAAGAGCCCCCGCCTCCGCGACCAGTCCAACGGTAGGTATCGCCTCCGCCAAAAGCAGATAGACACTGTAGTCAGGTCCTCAACCTCCATCCGCGAACACTTCCAGTCCCTTGATCCTCTGCGACAGGTGCAGAGACGAAGCGGCATCCGCGACCCGAGAAACTCCGAGTGGAAGAACCGGCCGCGAACCCAGTCCCCCGGCATGGCTGGCAGTAATACAAGCACTTTTGCCGCCGACGACGTGAAGTGAAAAGTAGCCCTATGCATTTAAAGATTCCGATTCATCACCACGGCGAGGCAAGAGGAGGCCCACAACCCTGTTATAGGCTGCAATACACGAGACTGCTAGCCGCAAGCAAGTGTGATTCTCGAGATTGAGTTTCTCGTCGCGGGCGCTAGCAATAGCCGAGATCAGAATCGCAAAAGTAAGAAGAGTGAGTCGGAGTAAGCCGCGTAAGCGAGGGTTATCGTTGTTGTTGTTGTTGTTGTTGTTGTTGTTGACACGTGATTCCAAGCCGCCCGGGTTTACAAAGGGCATATATTATGAAGCTCTCCCTTTTAGTTATGAGGCTGATCGAAAGGTAATTCGAACGGGAGCCCAAAGCGAAATGAAATCGGAGAACAGCGCCCGTCGTCGGACATGCTTTCTTCGAAACAACCGGGATAAGCTTAAGTTGAAGACGTGTGGGCGTTGCAATGACAGCCCCCATTATCCATAGTGTTGAGAACGACGAGGTCGGTCTTCAGATCCCAAAACCAAAAAGCAGAACACGGTCATGAGGGGAGGTGCTTCAATTCCATGTGCAAGAGACCAGGGAGGGCATCCGAACTAACGACTAGTTATAGGGTTGTACGTAGGAGGGCTATCGTTTTACCATTACTACTTCCCCCCCCCTTCCTCCTCCCCACGGAGACGCTCCAAATATCCAAATCTGGGGAAAACGGCGCCCAGCTTCCACTCGCCGCATCTCTCGCACATCCCATCTCCGAGACGCAAGACGAGATTATTGCTTCTCTCACGGCCGCGAGCTTTGCTAACGCCTCCGAAGTCCACGGCCACGGCCACGGCTCCCTCTTTGTCCCACCGTCTCTCTCGTCGCCATCGTCGGCTTTATCTCTACGAGCAGCAGCAGCAGCAGCAGCAGCAGCAGCATTAACTACAGTCCCGCAGTCATTGCCTATGGGCTCCACACCCTCTTTCTAAACTCTCCGCATCTTCGCGACAGCCGTTCCTCTTTCTCCGTAGCCAATCCTCCCCCGCAGAGCCGCGCAAAAGCTCTCTTTCTCAGATCTAGCCCCTGCTACATACCTACAGCTGCCCCCTCTCCAGATCCCATCTTCCCGCGACGCTAAGGAGCTCTCGGAAATGCCGGGTCGCTTGCAGCCGACGACGGAGTGGACCGCTCGGGGTGATAGGCACTGCTGCTGACGAACGAAAGCGTTGAAGAGTCAGGGAACAAGAGAGTCTGGGTGCCGGAGAAGAGAAGACAGCCGGTCCGCGAATCTGGTGCCAGGCTAGAGAGTAGAGATGGTTAGTAGAGGAGGTTATGCGGTGACTAATTCTTTGATCAGTCATTTTTAACGAACAGGCAAAGGGTGGGTGGGTGCAAGACTATGCGGGGGAGATTCCCACCCGCGCGAGAGAGAAAGACCTCATATACCCAAACCCAACCCCATTCCCCCAACCCTCCCCCAAGAACGCAGCAGCAGTACATCTCCAAAACCCCTATAAATCCAAACACAGCACTAATTGCTATATATACCCAGTTAATCCACACTGCACTCACTCACTTACTACAAGACAAAACAAAACAATATCAATTATTCTCAACCTATAACCACTTGCTTGTCAAACCAGCAAAACATGTATGTCGACAGCAACAAGAATCTTCCGTGCCTTACTAATATATATACACACAGTTCCAAGCGCGAGGATAAATGCATGTCTTTAAAAACTAGAGCCAAGGGATGTATGGTATGTATGGTATGTATGTATGTAAGGGGAGAGAGAGAGAGAGAGAGCTGCTGTTGCAAATTCTTTCTCATGCCGTCATTTCGTTTCGACGTTCAAGATTATTGTCGAAGAAGAAGAAGAAGGTATGAAGAAAAGTAGGCTGCAAGCTGGCTGTACGGAGAGTGTATAGGTAACTTGAGGAAAACCAGGACGAGAAGAAGAGGAAGAAGAGAAGGAGAAGAAGTAAAAGAGAAAAGGCCATATCAAACAGGAAAATTTGCAAAATCTTCCACCATCGCTGGAGTAGAACTCGTGCGGCCAGCATGTCTGTCCCCACGTCGAAAATCATCCCAGATATACATATACACGTAATTGAATGTACGCTCAGCTGACCATTCAAAAAATTCAATCTCTTTCTCTGGTGTATGGAGATCAACGCAAAGGGACAGATATGCTGGCCGCGTGTGTAGTGAGTGACAGTACTTTTGTTGTATACTTTCCGTCTCGGCATCGTCGCTAAACATGACGAGCCAAGAAGTGAATTCTTAAAAAAGCATCAGAACGCAAGAAGGACTAGCTCATGCTGCTGGACCACCAAGGCAATGACGAATACAGTACATAGCCCATCTGTAAGCTTTTCTGGAAGATGGATACTCACCACTTCGGTCTAAACCCTTTCCCGAGCCCCGTGAAGCTCTTTGTACCGTCGTACAGACTGTCGGCTACCCACAGAAGGGTATAAAACAAGAGGGAAGGCTTTTACCTTCGTACACCCCTTGGACCCGAACCTGCATCCGAGGGTCTGGAAAAACGAGAAGAAGTACGGTAATTTTTTGCTTTTCTTTTTATTGCATATTTCTTCTTGCGGCGCCCCGCGCGGGGCATCTCCACGAGTCGGAGCAGGCCACAGACCAGAGCCCAGACCTCGAAAGCTCTGCCAATACTCCATACTTACGGAACATGGGATAAAGTCTTAGGCGAGCAGCCGCGAGCTAAGACTTCTTGATGAGGGTTCGTCCAATGGGAGACGACGAGGGAGTCGAGATGGGACAAGGGTTTCTAGTACCTCTCCCGGTCAGGGCACGTACCCAGTGCCCACGTACCATCTGGACGAGTGTTGGTTCGTATTTAATATATAAATGCAATGCACGGAGGTCGGAAAAGAGTGCAACTGAGTCGTCTGCTGCGGGCGCGGGCATGAGCTTGAGCATGCCACCTGTCGTTCTTTTGCATACTGGTCCCTTTGATTTTGGTACCCGTTCATCTCAGCCCGGCGCTCGAGCATGGTCGCAACGTCGCATCGTCGCACCGTCGCATCGTCGCATCGTCGCATCGTCGCAGCGCCCACCGTGTGTGTCTTTTGGTTTAAAGGACGGACGACGCCAGCTGATGTCGTTATCGTTACTGTGGTAGGTATCGCTGGCGGCTGTCGTCGACGGTGACATGGACGCCCGTTAGAGTACGGTACCGTACCTAGCGATCTCGAGCCGGAGCCCGAGCCCGAGCCCAAGCCCGAACTTTATTTGATCGGATTGTTTGTTGTCATCCTGGGCCAGGCGTGGTTCAAGATAAGGTAAAGAGGAAGAGGAAGAAGAGGTGGACAAGAAAAGCAAGGGGTTCAGCAGCGCCGCTGCGGGGAGAAAAGCCCCAGCGCGACTAACAAACTCCCGGCACCCTAGCAAGCCTCCCTAACCGTGCGTTAGCTGGAATTCGCAGTCGCCTAAAGATTTCCTAAGAATAGGGATGTCTTCGCCCCTTGGTAAACGGCGCTGGTCCAGACGGATGAGAGAGCGTGAGTGAGAATCGAGACAAGACGAGACGAGACGAGACGAGACGAGACGAGACGAGAGCGTCGCATGCGTTTTGGTTGTTTTTGTTGTTATTGCTTTGGTTGTTGTTGTCGTTGCTTATTAGCAGGGGGAGAAGGCACGCCAAACCCGACTGACCGGACCGGACTGTACTGTACTGGCAGGGTTGCGGGCTTGCATCATTATTGGGAAGATCAACAACACAAAGATTCCAACGTCAGAGCTTGCTGGTTACCGACTGCTGCAAAAGACTGACTGACTGACTGACTGACGGACTGACTGACTGACGGACGGACGGACGGACTGACGGACGGACTGACTGACTGACTGACGGACGGCCTGACGGATGGTTTTTCGTTCTCGTTCTCCTTGTCCTCAACGCTCTCTCAGCAGCGCAGCAACTATGTCAGCGAGAACGTCCCAGAGGTATGTTCCTACCTGCATAGCCGGATCCTACTATACCATAGGTCCCTAACGAAGGATCGATGCATAGGAGAGATTACCATATTGTGGTTCTTGGTGCCGGTGTGTGCGACCCCCATTGCCCTATTCCCCTATTCCCCTACCTATTCTCTCCCCCCCCTTTCCCTCCCATGTGCGTGCTGGGCTCTACGGACCGGTCCCGGTTTTGATGAGGAGGGTGGCTGATGGGCAATTTCTGCAATTCTAGGCGGGGTGGGCAAGAGTTGCCTCACGGGTAGGCCCTTCTAATCTCCCCAAACTCTGGGAGTCCAGATGTGCTGCCACGGCGTGAAAACTGATGGATGAGTCTAGCGCAATTCGTGCAGAATGTGTGGATTGAGAGTTATGACCCGACGATAGAAGACTCGTACCGAAAACAGATCGAGGTGGATGTGAGTGTCCTGCCAATAATGCACAATAATGCACGGCCGAACCCAGCACTGACTGAACCACAGGGACGGCAATGCATGTTGGAAATGTACGACTTATCCAGAGCAGTTCTTTCCACAAGACTAATAGTGATGCGCCTTGTAGTCTAGACACCGCTGGGACGGAGCAATTCAGTAAGTCCTCTTGAGCCAGATATCACGTGACTCACATGGAATCTGACACCTGCCAGCCGCGATGAGGTACGCTCGCTTCTCAATGCCCCAAAAGCGATTCGAGATACTGATATGGCGTCGTAGAGAGCTCTACATGAAAAGCGGCCAAGGATTCCTGCTCGTCTTCTCGATTACGAGCCAGAGCAGTCTAGTAGAGCTCTCCGAACTCCGCGACCAGATCATCCGCATCAAAGACGACGAGAACGTGCCGATTGTCATCGTCGGCAACAAGTCCGACCTGGAGGAGGACCGGGTGGTGACGAGGAGCCGAGCATTTGCGGTGAGCCAGAGCTGGGGCAACGCGCCGTACTACGAGACCTCGGCCCGGAGGAGAGGTGAGTGCCGTGATCTTCCGTCGGTGCGAGAAGGGTGATGTGAGAGCCTGACTGGTGCAGCAAACGTGGACGAGGTGTTTATCGATCTGTGCCGGCAGATCATCCGCAAAGATAATACGGCGACGGCGATTATCGACCAGGAGATGGTCTACGCGCACGGCAGCAGGAAATCACATGGTGGCTACGGACAGCGGCGCATGAGGGCTAGGAGGAACAAGCAGTGTTTTATTTTATAATTGGGAATCTCGGAACCAGAAGATAGGCGCATGGCGCAGGGTGGACGACCAGTTGCACGCGAGGGCTGGATGACGCTTTGGGGAGGGGGGGAGGGGAGGGCAGAGAACCAAACTTCCTTGGTATTTGGGCCACTGCAAACACCAAGAGTTATAATACATGGAGGATGGAAGTGGAGATGGAAGTGGCTCTTGACTAGGAGAATCGATGCGATGATATAATCTGATAGGGCTGGACTGGAGAGGCCTGTATGTAAGAACGCTAAGAGGTAGATGACTTGTTTGCACGCACGATAATGACCATCAGGACGAGATGCGGCCCATTCAGCATCACATCTGCTCCGAGTATCCAACTAGCTGTACCTCCCAAAGTAAGTGCCAGTGCCGCCTGGCTCTCTTCCGACGGCCCGCGACGCCGTAAGCGCTACTTGTCTCATGTGCATATAATTCCGGAAGTACGAGTACGTACGTATCCTGGGAACGACCCTTTCGCGGCTAAGCATGAGCGACAGACGGGAGGAGAATAAGCTGCAGACTCGGCAGCTGGTGGTTGGCTGGTTGCGACATCCATAACACACACACATTAGTCGTAGATCTTTTTGTCTATTTTGTTTTTGGCCGGTATCCGAAAAGCCTCCACCAGCGGCGCATGCTACTACTGTAGCAGTAGGTTCTTCGCCATTGCGTCGTGCTTGCGTGCTTGCGTGCTTGCGTGCTTGCGTGCTCCCTTCCTTCCTAGGGCTGACACCGAGGAGGGCGCACCGCGCGACGGTCATCGCACGCAGCTACTCCTTCCTAGGTACTCGCAGCTTCATCTCATCGGGCCATTCTGCCTCGGCGGGTAAAGAAAGGGTGCCATCTCGGCGGGGTGAGAGGGTGTCTCCCTGACCTGGTTGCCGGAGTTTTGTGCGATGGTGGTCGTGATAGCGGTGTGCTTTCTGGTGTTGCTTTTAACGTTAGCTTTTCGTTTGCATTGAGGGCAATGCGCGGCGGCGGCTGCTGCTTCGCGGTCTATCTATCACCTGACGGGTTCGGTGGCTCGTTCTTTTGGTTGAGCTTGCCAGTCACGATGAGGTGTTTGGCTCCGCCCGGTGTTCCATCCGTGCCCACGTACGTACGTACGTACCGGTAGGTACGTGGGCACGTACGTGTCGAGTCGACCTAGAGAGGTCGGCGTTGTAGCAGCCCACCCAGGCAGCTGTCGTCCCTTTGCACCACTCCTAAACCCTGGGCGTTCTGATAATGGCCGGCAAAAGCTTGGCCGCCTCTTCCCTCAGAACAGGCTGCCAGTCTGCAGAAGCAAAGCCACTTCGGGGTTGGGGTACCTAGGTAGGTCCCTGAATCTCGGCTATCTGTGGTCTAGACATTGGACACCATTCCACATCTAACGGGAGGAGCTGACCTCGTCACTTTAGGGATTGCTTAAATCCTGCTATCTACCGATCATGTTCTACAAAAGTATTCTGCTCCGTTCCGTTTAGGAACCTCAATCGCTATGTTTTACATTACGATTTGAACTTTCAAAGCGAGCTCGATTATAAAAGGTTGATATATCAATCCCCTCGGAGGCTGCTTCCAATTCTTGTATCCAAGCGGGAGCATCTCGGCTTATACTACTAGTAATGCATTGAACCTGATCCAAAAATCGATGTTTATAAAGCATGCCTATACGCTATTGTAAACTATCAACACAGTCATCACGTTACACGCGTTCTAAGGTCACGATTTGAGTCGACTTTTTCGCTTAGCTTCGGCAGGCCCACCTCCCCTCTCGCAGCCCCCCATCACATCACATCATGTCCCTACCGACCGCTTGCCAGCCTGCCCAAAAGGAAAAAAAGAGAAACGGTTTGAGGAGCGCATGGCACCCGCCAACACGGTGAGATAAGCCCTGGGCTGTCGACCCCCTCCCCCCCCTCCCCCTGGTTCGATGGGGGTGCACGGCCAGTCAACTGGCTTGCATCCGGCGTACAATCCTTGATCCTGGCTTCTCTACTTAGCGTAACGGAAAGGTAAGCTTGGGAGCTTGGAGGCCACCATCAATCAGACTTGAGGCGTCAAAGCTCCTCGGATTCCTTCGAACCACCACCACCACCACCACCACCACCACCCAAGTAGGAAGCTCACCAATGACCCTTTCGTCTTTGGAAGCACAGCGTCTACGTAGTCGCAGCGCAGAATAGAGGCAGGAAGTACTACGGAAGCACCAGCACACACACTTAAGGCCGATCGTTGAGAGTGAGAGAATCTGGGGCTGAGCATCGCTTCAACGGATATGTCCCTCAGAGACACATTCATGCTCAGGGAGAGCGGTGTGACGGGCTCATACTGATAACATTCAGCGTGTTCCAGAAGAATGGCACCGCAGCCTTCCTGGTGGAAAAGGGGCCCTCTATCCATGGCGATTGAGATCGCCCAGCAATCCGAGCAGTCACTTTCCCAAGGACAGGAGAGCAGGAAGAGGCTGCCTGGGGGTCTGTGTAACCTGGGGAAAGAGCGTAGTAGGGATTAACCGAAGAAGATATCGCGACGGGACGGGACGGGACTGGACTGGACTGGGCAGATACTACTACGTACTACGTACATACTACAAGTACGTACTTACTGAGCGTGCCTAGTGATAACTAATATCCTCCGTAAGACGCAGAAACGGCAGATTGGTTGAATAGGTACCGGTATCGGTATCGGTATCGGTATCGGTATCGGTATCGGTACTCCCAGCCCTCATGTCGTAGCCACTCTCGGCTTGTCACATATTGTTCAGGGTCCCGGCAGGCGCGGATTTCGGTGGTCCAAAGATCTATCAGATTTGGGGATTCCTCAGCATTCCTCGATCACCAGGAAGACCCTGAGACCCTGAGTATCACCATGGATGACGAAGGTGTCCTTTGAAACAGCTGTGAGACACGGCTGTTATTTCGACCTAGTAGTGATTGACCTCCCGCTTGGGGAATTCCCAGGTTTTCCCCATAGAAATGTTCAGGGGGGCCGAGGATCAGGAGATGGAATCCTGGGAAATACATGTGGCTCGGTCCTATCAAATCAAACTGCATTCTTCGATCAGCTCGCAAAACCCAGGCCCAGGTCAGGCAGACAGGGTAGGTAGGGTGGGTAGCTCCTCCGAGAACCGGGAGGCTGTTGGTTCAAAGAGAATACTGCTTGCAGCGAGGCTTTCGAGCCAGGTGGTCTTTGTTTTGATACAGTAGAATCCGCTCCGGCTGTACCCTTGGATCGAAACTACTGAATTTCGCTCTTCCTTCCCGTGCGCAGGCAGGCAGCACTTCCCGGCCCGCCGCAACGGCATTGCGCGCGGAATAAACTTTGGGGAGGATAGGTACAGTAATGATTGGCAGCAAGGGATTATCGTGACAAGCAGGAGACATTACTACTGAATGATCAGATCAGGGTTGACACGCAGGCCCAGCTAGGAGTAGAAGTAGAAGTACAAGTAAGTACCGAATGAGTGATTGAGTGACCGACCGAGTAGTGAGTGAGCTCTAGCCTCTACGGACACGCCGTAGTCTCTCGCCTCTCGCCTCTAGCCTCTAGTCTCTCGCCTCTAGCCTCTAGCCTCTAGCCTCTAGCCTCTAACCTCTAACCTCTAACCTCTAACCTCT